ATTGCACACTAATACAGTTTGCACACTAATACAGTAGCATTATCCCAGACTATTTAGTTTTTTGGTTTTTATGACATGTTGGTTTTAAAAATATACATGATTTTGGTCTGTGAGAGGAAAAAGATTCCAGTAAAAATTAAATCCTGTTCTGTAAACCAGGGCAGGAGTCATTTGCAGCTGGGGTTGTCCCAGCTTGTGAAGTATAGCCTGGTAGTACCTGAGCTGAGAGTATTTATTTATTTCATAAAAACAACGAAGTCCATAAAAAATCAAAGTAAATTAATTACTGAATGAACAGGGGGCAAAAAGAAGAAAAAATTGTGTATCTGCCTCTAATAATAATTAAAAAAAACCTTACTCCAAGCACTAACATCATGACATCTGTCACTGCTTTTCAAATAGTCGGGTTATCCCTTTATTTATCATGGCTCTGACGCTGAGCTGTTTGCAGGTTAGTTGCTGCGCGTGCAGCATACCTTCGTGAGAACAGTTGTTTAACCAATAACTTAACTAACCAATGGACACCTTCCACAACACCAAACGCCAACTCAAAACCCACAAAGCGTCGCGAGGCTACATCAATGGCTCAAACCCTCTTTGGTGGTTGTTACACTCAAAATGAGACGAAGACTTGGCCCACTGAATCTGAGGCCTCGTTTGTCATCAGTCACGTCTTTTTCACGGTAATGACACACGCCTCGAACCGGCTCTTTATCTGGCACGTCCCTTTTTGCTCGACACAGGCATCGCTTCAAATGTTACATCACTACAAATAACTTCATTTCTGGACATTTATGGTTTGATTTCTTTGTATGTATGGATCACTTGGGTTGTTACCGACATCTGGTGAAAATTTCATGTCATTAGCACCTCTAGTGATATATTTACTGAGAAAAATGGTGACGTGTTCAATACTTATTTTACCTGCTGTATGTTGCATTGTGTATCAAGTGCTTTTAGTTGTAGCAGCAGAGTGTTAGCATATCTGAAATATTTCTGACTTTTTGTTTCGTTTTTAAATGACTTTCCAACATACAGATTTTGAAAATCACAGCTTGGTTTTGCATCTGTCCACATCGTACCCACCTCAGCTTGTTTTGTACCCACCTCAGCACGTTTGTATCTACTGGAACTGGGATGTGAAACCTGTGGCTCTGGGGCCACACACACCTCTTTGGTCCCCTTGTGGTGGCTCTGAAGCTTGGACCAAAACTAACATCAAATCATATTTTATCAGGTTTTATTTATTTTTCCAACATGTGAAATATACTATAAATACAAGGAGTAAACCTGTTGATTAGATGCTAGTTGTATCTTCATGAATTCAGCTTTCAGCCTCAGTTTGAACTTTCTCTCAAATCTACAAGAGATTTTCAGGAATTTATTTAATAAGATATGTGGGTGAGTTTAATGCCAATCAAAATTACAGACAGGAAAACATGAAGTAAAAAAAAAAGAATGTTTTTAATCAATAGGTCACAATCAAATATCCATTTACATGAGGGCCACACCGTGTTGAACCCATATGATGTGACATCTATTATTATACATTGATGATTGTTTTATATGTTTGAAATTGTGGTACACTGAATAAAAACAGTTTTGGGATCTGTATCTGGCCCAGAGGCAGAAGGTTCCCCACTGCTGGCTGCAGGATTAAAAATGAGTTTCAACAAGTTTGAATCACAATAATGAGCTGTAGATGTTAGCATTAGCTTTCATTAGCCTACTGTGATCAGGCTGCAGTGCATTATGGCATATTTCTGTTTATTTCTGTTTAGTGTGTACAGTATGGTGGATGGAGAATCACAGTTAATATTCTGATGGTGGCTGACTCACTGTAAAGAAAATGAGTGGATCATGTGAGCAGAGACTATATGTTGTGTTGACCTCACCTTCTGTTTGGTCCCTTCCTGTAGCAAACAAACCAAGTGCTGACTGTAATCTGTTGTTGTCCACAGTAAAGCTTAGAAACAATGCTGTGAAGTGAAATTCAATTCAATTCAGTTTATTTATATAGCGCACTGCACACATCTAAAGAAGCCAGCAGATTGTGTTGAACCTTCACTTAGTCGCAGTCTCCCATCCTGATTAGCACATTGGTGACAGTGGAGAGGTGTCAGGTTTAAACACCAAACATTTGTAGAACTGAAGCTGTAAGGAAAGACACAAGCAGAGTCAATAAAGTTTTACTTGCAAGGAGAACGTACAGAGACTGGTTCAGTTACAACCTCAGCACGCTCTGAAAGTCAGTCTCTGCCGCCCACCTGCTTTTATTAACTTTGGGAGCCCTGGTTACACACAATTCAAAACTCAAGGGTGGGGGTAAAAAACGGTCCAACATGTTTGACAAGATAAAGATGACTATCAGAATATACTGCTTCTAAGAGATCAGAACAGTTCATGGATAAGGACAGAAAAGCAGCTGCAGCACATCAAAAACAACTTGTCCTTCGCARTCTGCCAAGAACCGGGAACATGTTCTTGGCCCGCTCTGGTTTCGGTCGGCCTTGGTTCGAAGCTGAACTGCAAACAATATAAGCACTCAGAAACACAGTTAATAAGAGGAGATAATATTATAAGATGTTTACAAATATTCTAACAAGAGGAAAAACTCCCTTTTAACAGGAAGAAGCCTCCAGCAGAACCAGGCAACCATCTGCCTGAGATTAATGCTTATTTCTTTATTTTTATTTATTTTTTTATTTTATACACTCCCCTGGTGGGGAAAATAATTTTCTGCATTTTACCCACCGCACACATGAATACACATGTGGAGCAGTGGGATACCAATTACAGCACCCAGGGAGCTACGGAGGGGTTAAGGGCCTTGCTCAAGGGCCCAAAGTAGGGATGGTTGGTCCAGGGAGTTGAACCAGTGACCTTCTGATCACAGACTCATCTTCTCTAACCTCTGTGCCACCACTCCCCAATTAAGGTATCAATGATTAATACCATCCAGAGGAAGTGAAAGGCTGCAAAGTTGATCCCTAAGATGTTCAGGTCCAAAAACCATAACCTCTGTCTGTCTGAGTTTAGAAGCAGTTAAGAGTCATCCATGTTTTTAAGTTGTGCTTGGAAGTTAGGTAACTGATTAGCTTCATCAAGTTTCATGGATAAATACAACTATCATCAGTATAACAATGGAAATTTATCTCATGCTGTTTAATAACTTTACCTAAAGGAAGCATATATAAAGTAAAGAGGATTGGTCCAAGCACTGAACCCTGAGGAACTCCATGACTAACTCTGGTGTGAGAAGAAGATTCATTATTATCATTAACAAACTGAGATCTATCAGTTAAATAAGACTCAAACCATTTTAGAGCTGTTCCTGTAATCCCAATAAGTTCAAGTTTACGTAATAAAATATTGTGATCAATTGTATCAAATGCAGCACTGAGATCTAACAGGACAAGAGTGGACACAAGTCCACTGTCTGAGGCCATGAGAATATCATTAGTAACTTTCACCAGTGCTGTTTCTGTGCTATGATGAGCTCTAAACCCTGACTGAAACTCCTCATATAGATTATTTCTATCCAGATGTTCACACAATTGATTGGATCTATTTTCTCAAGATTTTTTAGATGAATGGTAGATTAGATATGGTGTTAATAATTTTGGGAAAACCCTATTTGAACAGTCTGGTTGGTTTGGGATGTGATCTAGCAGACATGTTGATGGTTTGGGTATGTGTGATAGTAAAGCACATGTTGAAATTACAAGTTTTTAATGTTTCAGTCATTTTGTATTAGCCTGTTTAACCCCCTAACAGAGTCCTTCCTTGACATTTTTTATGTAAGGATGTCAAGCTAAAGGTAAGAATCAGAGGAAGTCGTCTGACACCCTGATTTTCAAAAATGGCTTGCATGGCAGAGTACCAAGACTAAAACCACTACTGAGAAAAAAGAACACAAAGGCTCATCTCAGTTTAACCAGAAAACATCTTGATGATCCCCGAGACTTTTGGGAGAATACTCTGTGGACTGACGAGACCAGTGTGGAACATTTTGGAAGCTTTAAGTCACATCACATCAGGTGTAGAAGTAACAGGAGCATCATACCAACAGTGGAACATGGTGGTGGTAGTGTGATGGTCTGAGGCTGTTTTGCAGTTTCAGGATCTGGAAGATTCCTGTGGTGAATGGAACCATGACTTCTGCTGCCTACCATCCTGAAGAAGAATATCTGAACATCTGTTCCTGACCTCCAGCTGAAGACCACTTGGGTTCTGCAGCAGGACTGATCAAAACACAGCAGCAAGTCCATCTAAAAAAAACTAAGTTAAGACTTTGGAGTGGTCTAATCAAACTCCTGACATAATCCAATTGAGATGACCTTAAAAAGGCAATCCATGCTTAGAAACCCTCTCAAATGTGACTGAATTACAACAGTTCTAAAGATGAGTGGGTCAGAACACTGTAAAAAACTCGGTTCTCACAAACACTTCACTGTAGTTGCTGCTGAGGGTGGTCCAACCCATTATCAGGTTTAGGTGGCATTTACTTTTTCACACATTTGGATTTCTTTCCTTTAATAAAAAAGACTTTAATTTATTGAACTGAATGATACTTTATTGGATTATTAAATGATGAACTGCATTTTGTGTTTACTTGTATTTGTCTCATATTTAAATTTGTTTGGTGATCTGAAACATTAAAGTGACAAATATGTACAAAAAAAAGAAATGAGGAAGGGGGCAAACCCTGTACAGATGATTATAACTCCAGCTGCCATCTGAAGACTAGACACTTTACTCAAACTGATCTTATTTTTTAGTGGTGTCTCTTTTAACTGAGTCTCTAAGCCTTTACTCTTCTTCTTCTGCTCCTCCTCTTTCAGTGAAGTGGGCCACTCTCCACACAGCAGGTAAAACATTAGGAGCAATGTCCTCTAAACAATTTCAGACCAAAACCTTTTTCCTGCAAACACAACATTCAAACTGTGTGAGCAAAATTAAAAGCCATAATTAGCCAAATAAGCTAGAATGGGCAAAACTAACTAAAAATGGCAGAATAATACTTAAAAGTAGCATAAAAAAACTCAGTTTGCTGAAACAGATTTTAAGGAGAATGTTTTGATGTAATCTAAATTATTTTAACAGGTTTACCTTTATTAAAAGTACAAATGTTACAAAAACCAAAAGTTATTGTATTTTTACTACCTCAAGCTGAACGTTAAAGTTGAAGACGATTAATGTTGAAAATGATTAAAATAAAACAAAGTATGTTGAAGTAATTTGACTGCAAAAACTGACTCAGCATTATACAGCAAATAATTGTAGTTTTTTTTACAGCATGTTGTCAATTAGATAGTAGTGTTGTAAAAATTACCACAAAGTGATACTTGAGTAAAAGTACAACCATCTTACCAAAGAAATTAATTTGGTAAAAGTTAAAGTCTCCTTTAGGAATATTACTTAAATAAAAATCTTAAAGTATCTGATATTTTTTGTACTTAAGTATTAAAAGTATAAGTATTGATTTAAAATGAGCTGTTAGATTTTCTGTAAGGACATTTATTAGGTGACCTCCCCGCTCCC